TCCCAAATAGTAATACGCGAACACCCCCATGTCTTGTCGTGTTTAAACTTGTTACAGTCAGTAATATGCCATCTGCTATAAAAATGTGTTAAGTGACATACGCAGCTTGTTTCCTGTTTACTCCGTGTCTGCTCCGTAACACTTCCATGAATTCCATTCATGTTCAATACTAGTGGTGTAGCAAGTGTCTGAAAGGCCCTGGGGTTAGATTTTTTCTCTGTGTTGGTTTGTGATAGTGGAGGGGGTTGGGGGAGAGGAAGACACTAACCTTTCTCTCACCGTTGCATACATACAATAATTTATTGTGCCTAAATCTTTGGCCTTTTTTCTACCACCAAAAATATTTTGAAACAATAAATCATACAACAATTGAGATAGTTGCAATCCAACAATAGTTATGCTGCTTCCCCTGAGTCCGAAATATTCACTAGAAGAAAAAAAAAATTAATTAAAGAAACTTGCATGAGACTACAATACGCTTATACATTAGGTTACGCTGGGAAATCAGTTATTAATTATATTCACATTTACCCTCGGGGAATTAATAATAAAAGACAATAGTGATTCAATCGTGTTCTTATCTTCACCTCAATATTTATGGAGAAGGCTTTTAACTCTTATGTTCAATATCGACATATTTATAAGTAGAGTATTATTGGAAAAATTATTTGAAATGTTTCTCAGTTGTTTTAATTCTACATGTTACATTGAAACTCACAATTGTTGGAATGACATATGACGTAATATCATTTCGAAATATGTTGTTCGCGATCATTCGATGCGGTATATACTTAAAATGTTTGTTCTCATTGTGTGTTAGTGGCCTAAAGATAGCTTCAAGAGAACAATTTAGAAACTTGCTCATTATATCTTGTTGTAAGTTATATTTTTTAATGTTGTAATTTGTTTGTTAACTAGAGGGAACAGTAGGTCATGATGATGACGTTAAAGTACGTGTAAATCAATTTTTTCCAGTACATTCTAAGATGGATGATAAATTGAGATCGGGAGAAGATACATAAGATAGATAGTTGTTTCAAAATATAACGTTGGATCACTCGGTGTTGTTTTCGTGAAGTATTTAATTTATATTAGCTATCGTGCTTGTTGAGTTACACTATACATGTAAGTTGATTCTACGTTAATCCTAATATTGTTAGAGAGGTTTGAACGCCATTTGTAATGTAGGCCTACAACAATTTACGACAGTGTTCAAGTGTTTGAGCTTTTGGAGATTTTAAAAGAGGAGATAAGTATATTTGTGATAGTTACGTGGACCAAACATCGAATTATTTTCACCAAAAAACAAACAAAAAAAAATATACACCTGCTAACGAATGAACAATGTTAGAAGAACACTAAACGTGGAGCTAAGAACTCGACTGAGCCTTTATTTTTACCATTTCGAGATCTTATTTTACCATTTTAATTTTCATTATTGTTCTATCCCTTTTTATTTAAAACTTTAGTAATTTTCGATAGACCTAACGTATGTCTAGGCCTTGGGGTAGTTGTTCTATTTTCCCCCATCTGTGTTGGATACCTTCAAAAAAAAAAAGCTTGCCAAAAATGATTAGGTGGTTAGAAAAGCTTGCAACTATAATATGAAACAGCTTTCAAACAAACCGGTTAAGTGTTTTCTGAAGTTCCACAAGCGTTTAACCTCATTTATTTTCCATTTTTAATGAGTGTCCCCAATTTTTCAAGTTCCGAGTTCCCCTATTTCTGTATATCTTGGTATAAACCAATTTTATTTCTCCTTACTCACAAGTTACCAAACATTAATGTTACATACAAAGTGTTGAGTGAAGAAAGCTTCTTAAAACTGAAGCAGGAAGCTTATCGAAATCTTTAAGAATTACGATCATGATAACTGTCGTTTTTAATGTTTACGCGCTTTAATAATAATTGTAAGCTGGAGAGTTTAAGTTATTAAAATTTAATACAAAGCTGGTGAGAAATAACTGTGCGCTGTTCATCAACTTCCAAATATACAGTCAATATTGTATTTGTCTAGGGCAGTTTGAGATAGTCAACATAACGTCATTATTTACTACTGAACGACTTGAATTTCACCTAATTTCTTAGCTTATAGCTAGATAGCGTGTTCAACACGTATGTTTTTAATATAAAGGTAATAAACTCGTTTACCCCGAGGAAAAGAGTAGAATCTAATTCTGTGTCACTTTGAGAAGGGTCTATATGTGTGACACACAAATGCAGTTTGTTGTGAAACCAGACCCGTAATGACAGTTTTTCACCGCGAGAGGGAGGGGATATACAAATTTTTAGAGGGGCAAGTTTGTATGGGCGTGGTCTAGTAATTAGCTAGTGGGGCTGTGAGTGCACTAAAAGAGTAGCAATAAATTCCACTATTCCATGAGACAAGAGTTGGCGGAAAGTGTTGTTGACTAGCTGCATTTCCTTTATTCTATCAGTTCCAAATTAGAACATAACATATGCGCAAATATTTTTTGTGCAGCTTTGCATGGAATTCTTAAAACAAGTTGTTCATCTAACCAAGGGTGGCTGTAGAAGGAAAGGCTTGCTGAGACTTAAGCTACTCCAATATGTATCTTAGCAGGCGAACACAACGAAATGTTCAAACTTTTGTGTATGTGTTTATATTTTATCTGGAGGGTGTTGGACACTGATCAATACGTCTGTACGCGACAGGGAACTTACGAGGTAGTCTTTATGCGGAAATGATGACCGCCTCTACCCCACCCGACTAATGAAAGGTCAGACGAACAGTGTACTTCCAGGGCTCCGGGATGACAACTGTTTCATGCATGGCCTGCCGGGAACGGTATTTTAAACATGGAGATAGAAACAAGAAAGAAAATACATGTAATTATAATTATACGTATTTGATATCTTTTTAATATTAATAATTATACAAATAAACAATTTTAGGTTGTCTCAATACTGTAATAACATATACACACACACACAAATATAATCTGCTATCTAATCATTTCCCCTTCCCTGTTGAAATACATTTCGTCATAAAAACAAAGCAAAATATGGAAGTTGACGCACAAAATAAGAACATTTAATTTTTTTTTATCTTGTCTGGGGAGGAAAGGAAACTTAATTTCAGAGGTGCAGTGTTTCTTACCTCTCTTAAACAATCGATTTAGTGTTTGTTTAATAATGTAGTTGTTTCTAGTTCCGGTTTAATCAAGCAATATTTATTGCTTATTTAATCGTATGATATTTGGTGTATGTTTAATCGTGTTATATTGAATGGTGGTTATATTATTTTTATCAGTTTAACAAGATACCTTCATTTTCCCTAACAATATAGATACTGTTTCAAAACAAACTGTTCGTTAATTATCGCCATTTGTTCAACAATAAACTCAAAATTAAATAATATATTGAACAATCGCTAAGTTTTTATTTAAAGAAAAACTTGGCGATTGTTCAACCTATTATTTAATTTTAATATTTTTGTCACCTATGCGGTTTTAACTATATATTTGTATTTTTATAACAATAAACTCAAGTCAGATTTAAAGTTTGAAAGCTAGAAATATTATCTGAATCTGGTGGGTGAAAAGGTTCAGTTGCGTTGCTCAAGCCCCCCAGTGGCACAGCGGTATGTCTGCGGACTTACAACGCTAGAAACCGGGTTTCGATACCTGTGGTGGGCAGAGCACAGATAGCCAGTTGTGTATCTTTGTGCTTAATTCCAAACAATACAAAACAAAAACAAAGCGTTGCTCAACAATAAGGCTTATACTTCCAGATTCCCAGAATTCATATGTAATCCACTGTATGTCGATATTAGCCGTATTTTTCTCGTTAACCTTCTTTTTTATTTCGTTTTCCGCATTTCATAATTCATTCTAGAGCATTGACTTGTTAGCAGACAACACTGGAGCACGAGTGTGAAAAGATATGAAAAATATTTGATTGGTGAGTGATTAGAGTGAAAATGGTTATTTGCATATCACTAACGATAAGAAGGTTTGCAAATCACTGGAGATGAAAAGGTGGCAAAGTCGCTCGGAATACACGTGGTAGTGTTACTTCAGACATCACTACTGATTTTCTGTTGTTGTTACTGCAGACTACATCCGCAGAGATGTGCTTGATACTAAGTTTCAGGATGTAAAATTGCCTTTGTTGGCATTTGTGATCATTCTGGAAAGGATAATTTTCCATAAAAGTACATACATATATATATACGTTTTGAACATTGAAACATATCCTTATGGACAGTAAGAGTACTTGTCTACTTGTGATTGTTTCAAGCTTCATTTGCAGTTCGAAAAATGATGCAATTTTGTGCAAGTAGTAGTTTATACCTCCTAAAATATTAAAAACCCGGGAGCTTCTGAGGGTTTCGTCCTCTGGACCCTGTTGGGGCTCTCGGACGGGCTTCAGACTCCCCATTATAAACTGTCTGCACATTTCCTAATAAGCTCTCGTGAACCGTAACTCATGGCTGATAAAATAGGTAACGATTATTGACTGTTGTACTGTAACCGAGAAAAAAATGTTAAGCAGTTTTATATAAATCTAAAATAAGTACTAATATAGTGTCACGCAGATTTGCAGGAAAAAGGGAAAGGACACTTTTCTTTCTGTTGGATATTGTGGCAATATTTGAACTTGAGTCCTAGTTTGAAATTTGGTGACTTTTTTTTTCTTCTATTTATTAACATTGTTACAGGGATGCCGTATAGGACCAATAATCAAATATTTGCCGTTTGATGCGTTATCTGTTAGAAGGCAACACATCTTTATTTGTGTCTTCGTTGGCGTCTGGCGTTCTGTTTCATTTAGCTTCGTTTTATCTATCGATGACGTAAATCCTGATATCTTTCATTAGTTGGTAGCTCTCCGTTAAATTGTATTGGCTAAAAGAAGCCACGTGGTTCAACCCCCATGCTGTTAAAACACACCGCTCTGGCGACATGAGAGATTTAAAAACTCTGAGCTCAGATCTAGGTACATATAGTGTTGGCCGCTACAAGAGAAGAGCGGCGTCTAACAGCAGCCTTCTTTATCGACACGTGCGCGCATGCAAGGACGTATCTGCTTTTGTCTTTTGACAGGTGAGTTTTAGATCATCGCAAGATAACGGTATTATTTAGTCAATGTATGGGGATGTTACTCAGTAATCAATGAAAGTTTAATGGGTTTTAAGCAAATAAAGGACTTATTTACAGGGATCTTTTAATGTCGGAGACGATGACATGAAATGGATTCCTCCAACATTATGACTGGATCCTATTTTTGATATTAAGATAACCTCGGAATCAAACGAGTGACTGAAAACGGGTTATGTCCTAGTTTCATAGGATTGTTACTTGAGTTGGCAGCACAACACAGAAGGATTGTTACTTGAGTTGGCAGCACAAGACAGAGATCATGGATTTGTTACTGTACCTTCACCGAATCTTAATTGTAAGTGGACTATTAGCTGGAATGGGTTCCTCCTACCAAACTAGCTGGAACTTGTTGGGCATGAGGACAACTCCGCCTCCTTGTGTAGAAATCCCCCAAACACTAACTCTTTGCAATGGTATCGGATACAACCAGATGCGGCTTCCTAACTTGCTGGGTCACGATAGAATGGCTGAAGTAGCCCAACAAGCTAGTCACTGGGTGTCTCTCCTGAACCTGAAATGTCACCCGGACACGCGGCTCTTCTTATGTTCGCTGTTTTCGCCAGTCTGCCTAGACCGACTAATTTATCCGTGTCGTTCGTTGTGCGAGGCCGTCCGTCAAGGCTGCGAGAGAAGGATGAATACATACGGCTATCCCTGGCCTGACATGGTCCGCTGTGATCAGTTTCCCATGGATAACGACATGTGCATCACCGTACAGTCTCCAGCAAGTGACGAAGAAGGTGAGTTAAACCATTTCTGGAGGGAACAGGAGGGGGGGGGGGGTAAAAGTTTTTATTTAAATACTGCAGATCCTCCTTGGACGATAAAACTAGGAATGAGTAGTATAGTATAAGTAGAACCCTACAGCTCTATTGTTATCTGTCCTTTAATATAAGATTCATTGTGTGTGTAACATAACTCTTCCTAAACCGCTGGTCGCGCGACTTCCAAGTGGTACCAAACGAATCGTCTCAGTTTGGAGGTTTGCACAAAGGTAAAACTTTTCACCCCACTCCACCCTTGGGGAATCCGGGAACTTCCCGAAAACCCTTCACCCTAAACTGGTTCGATTCACCAACTTCTAAATGTTGTCAAACAAATCGTCTCTTTGCACAAAGGTAAAACTTTTCACCCCACTCCACCCCTTGGGGAACCCGGGGATTTCCCGAAAAACCTTTCCTCCTAAACTGGTGGATTCACAAACTTCTAA